CAACGAGGACTCCGGAGATAGCTTGGCCGTGCAGGTCGGCTTGCCTGAGCTCTCTAGGACATCATGACCTTCGCCAGCGTTCTTACCGGCTTTGACCGACAGCTCATGCGCAGCAACCTGGAAGTAGTCAAGACCAGTGGAACCGGTTGCGAGGCTGCACTTGACCTTCAGAGTGTGCGTCTCGTTTGCTTCGCACCGCTCTGCATTTTCTTGAGGCAGGAATCTCATTGACCCGATGCAAATGAAGTCGGAGTGGCATGATGCCTACCCGAAGATGGATCTGGACGACAACTACCTGGGTGATGGGTATCCCCTGTGCGAGGATCTGCCAAAGGGCGCCTTTCTCCTGAAAGGTGCACGCTTCGAATTTCTGAGCAGCCAGTATACCTCCGACGTCCTGACCGTCCATTCCTCCTCACCCTTGTACCAGGCTTTGTGTTCTGCCAGTGGTGGCAGCTGCAGCTTCCAGGCGGTGGTTGTGTTGTCACAGGACCTTTCCTGTCATGCAGATGAGTGCGACGCCACCCTTCCTTCTGTTGTCAAGGTTGGTTCGGCCTACTACGAGTTTGTGCCACCGGCATGCGTGCATTTCTATTTTTACAATGGCAAGATCGCTACAGATGGGGGCGGGAGTCGGAACTGGCAGAGCCGAATTCAGTGCACAAACCCAGCTGCATTTGCTGGGGGTAGCTACTGCTGCGATGGGTGCTCAAACAACCGTCCGCCGAGTTGGGTACCAGACAATTTTTGTGAGAATCGCTCCAGCTCCACTTTCGCAAGCAGGTGCAGCGGCAACGACAATTGGGTCAACAACAAGTACTGTGAGCTGCGCTGCTTTGAGGAGGGCTTGGGCTACGGAAGGGACTGCGCAGCAGGAGCATACCGGGAGGCTCATACCTGCGGCTTCTACCAAGAGAAAGTGCCCTACGCCACAGCGGCCAAGTACTGCAGCGCTTTGGGGATGCGCATCTGTGACAGGCCCGGGACAAGGGGGGGAGGCCCAACGGGGCCGTCTCTTCTTGCACCCCTCCAAAAGAAGGGTTTAAGCTCCCGCCCCGAAGAACGAAGACGCATCTCTGTTCCGTCTAAGGCAGACGGAGCTGACCAGCTGTGGATACAACGACGATGGCGCACGGGTCTGGACAGAGACGAACTGCAGCATCAACGTCTCCGTGGATGAAACCGGTAAAGTCAGCTCCCAGAAGGACTCCCTTGCGGCTTTGTGTCTCTCTCTCTCTCTCTGTGGGGTTGTGTGTGGGTGATTCTTGGCGGCTTGGGCTTCTTGAGGATGAGAGCACTAAGATGAACAAGATCCGGGTCAGCTGGACGGACAGCCGCCCCGATGTGGCTGCCTGCCCTGCAGACTGCAGCAGCGGGGCCAACTCCTGTGTCTGCCCGATCACTGTGGAGCTTCAGCCCGCCTTCGCTGCTTGGCAACTTCTCACTACCATCACTACCTGCGGTTTCCAGTGCCCTCCCATGTGCTTCCTCCAACTTTTGCATTTAGATTTATAAGGACCGGATCCCGAGTGCCCAAGAGCTGCAGCAGCTGAAAGTCGGGGCTTTCGCACCTTCCAGCGCCTGCTCAAGCTGTGGTGACGTGAAAGCATATCATTCAGATCCCATCGACGAGGAGACGATCTTCGAATACCAAGGCAGATTCTACAAGAACGTCGTGAGTCTCGTGCATGTGGCGGGCAAAAGCTTCCGAAACCCTCCGCTCTTCGGCTTCACCGAGACCCCCAGCACACGGTCGGCGATGTGGGAGGTCGAGAGCCTGCTTGAGCACTTGGTGACTCACCCAAACACCGCTCCCTTCGTGTCGCTGCGCCTCATCCAGCGCCTTGTGAGCTCGAATCCAAGCAGCGACTACGTCCGAGACGTCAGCGAAGCCTTTCGGACCGGCCGCCACGGAGACCAGGTCTTCTCCGGCCGGCACGGGGATTTGGCAGCGGCCGTGCACGCGGCCCCTCGCACGCACCTGGCTTCGCTTTTCAAACCTTCGGGGAAGCCTTCGCCCTTCTCGCAGGTGCTCCTCCACCCGGAGGCCAGCTCCTCCAGTCAGACCCGAGGGGCCTTGCGGGAGCCTTGCCTCCACCAGTCTGCTCTTGCACGGGCAGGTCTGCAGGTCGTGCGTTGTTTTGGGCGCTCAGGAGCCCCTCGTAAAGCTGGTGCACTTCCTGCGAGCCACGGAGTTCGTGGATGCCGGCGGGCGCGAGCTGATCTTCCAGGAGCTGCAAGACCTCCTTGGCCAGGCCAGGAAAGGCGAGTAGCAGGGCTTCAAGGGGCTGGGCCCTTCGCAGAGTCTCTCTTGCCCAGGCCCCCTTCATGTCGCCCTCGGTCTTCAACTTCTACCGCCCGGATTTTCAACCGAGTGGCCTAGACGGGCTCGTGGCGCCCGAGGCGCAGATCTTTGAGGGAGCCAATGTGGTGAACTTCATGAATGGCATGCTCTCCATGATTAAGCACGGAGGTGTGACTGACTGTGACGGGGGTCTGGGGCTGAGGACGGAGACCTGTGGCCAAGGCCAAGGCTCCTTCACAAAGGCCTGGGGCTCTCAAAGCGAGGCATTGGAGGAGCTGAATCTGCTGCTCACTGGGGGCCGTCTGACGAACGAGTCTCAGCAGATCGCCCAGGCGGCATATGAGAAGGAAGGGATCCAGGCCGCGCAGGAGGCCATCGTCTTAGCACCGGAGTTCAATGCTTTGGGCGACCCGATGCCAGAGGGATCCCAGCGAGATGATAGCGGCAATGCCCCAAGCACACGGGCCCCGGCATCCTACAAGGCCTTGATCAACCTGTATCTCGGTGGAGGCGCAGACACCTTCAATCTCGTGGTGCCCATCGACTGCGACCTTCATGCAGAATACCAGGCGGTCAGAAAGACAGCCGCGATGCCAAGCGCAAACCTATTGGAGATCAGCACCGTGGGACAAAGCTGCAGCAAGTTCGGCGTTCACCGGAAACTTCCCGTGCTGCATTCTTTGTACCAGGACGAGCAGTTTTGTGCTGCTTGCACTCCTTCTTGCATTTCTGCGCTTTTTCTGTGGCAGTGTAGCCACTCGGGTCAGGAAGGGCGTGCTGCCTTCGTAAGCAACATCGGTTCGCTGGTCGAGCCGATGGACAAGAACGACTACTTCAAGGTAGGCGGACTAAACTACGGGAGCAGGAGCCTAGGGGTAGGGCCCGCTGAAGCCGAGAACTCGCAGGGCTCGAAGACCACCTGCGCCGGGCTCTTCTCGCACTCGGACCAATCCGAGGCGGCTCAGACTCTCAAGTGCCAGGCAGGGGGAAGAGTGCCTTCATCCCTAAAGGGCGGTTGGGTTTAGGGTTTAGGGTTTGCTTTTGCTCCTTGGGAGGTTCGAGGCTCCGGGCCCAAGGGCGTCGGCGGCCGCATGGCCGACTCTCTCGGTCAGAGCCAGAATCTCCAGACCATGAGCTTCTCCTTGAACGGACGCCAGACCTGGGCCCAGGGAAGCTACACCAGCCAAGTCGGGGTGCCCGTCACAGGGGAAGTGCCCACGACGCTCGGTGGCAGACAGTCAGCTCTTGCTTACATCACTGCCGGAAAAGCCGTGCGCCACCATGTGCCACCAACTGATTCAGGCTCCTGAACTATACGGGGAAGCGAAAGCTCCTGGACGACCTCACGCAACAGAAGCTCGGGAATGTCTACTGCGAAGAGTATGCGAAGAGCGCCGGGGCTCTCGTCGTTGCCTGGCGCAAGTCATGCCAGGACAGCCGAGGCGGCCTAGGTGTGACATAGGCTGAGTCCTTGGCACTTCCAAGGACTCCAATCAGGCGCTTTTCGACCAGCTTGCGAATGTCACTCTGATGACATCCTGGGATATTCCAACTGGCACCGAAGGGAAGCTCATGAAGACGATGCAGGCTGTAGCCAAGCTCATCGTCACACGAACCGTGCCTTGCCTCGACAGTTGAAATGTGCCGATCCCGTGAGATCCGAGATCCAAGGAGCGCCAGGTGGAAAGAGACTTCTTCTATGTGGAGTTGGGAGGCTTCGACACCCACAACGAAATCCATGAGGCTTCTGACTCTCCTGCATATCCTTTTGAGCTCGTCAGTTTGAGCTGCCCCCTTTTTCGGAGGTCATGGACGAAAAATTCGATTACCTCAATATTGCCTTGGAGGTAACTCGCAGACTGCATGCTTCGAACTGCAGAAGTTGTGTGCCGTCGTGCGAGGCCTTTGTAGCCGAGCTCAAGGCCCAAGGCATTTTTGACGCCGTGACCATGGTTTCTTCGTCTGACTTCGGACGTACTCTGACCTCCAATGGCAAGGCCTCTTGGGGTCAGCGAGCACAGCATATCACAGCTAGCAAGCAGAAACATTTGGATACGAGGAGAGTGCCGAGCGCAGAAGCAGAGAGAAGCCAACTGACTTCCGTGCAGGGCACCGACCACGGATGGGCTGGAAACCACTTCGTCCTGGGAGGCCTCTGCACGAGTTCCGTGTGAGGCTTCTTCGCGGATGGATTTTGCAGGTGCCGTCCGTGGCGGTAAAGTCTTGAATGACTATCCTGAAAGCCTGTTGGAGGGCAACAACCAGGCGCCGGGCGGAGAAAGGGAAAGGGAAGAGATATGAAGAGCTCGTACTCCGCCTGCCCTCCGCTCCTTCGCAGGATGTCGGTCGAGGCCGCCTGATTCCCAAGTATCCTTGGGAGAGTTTGCTCTTTCCGGTCTCCGAGTGGATGGGAGTCAGCCCCGAAGACCAGAAGACCATCTTTCCGAATCTAGAGAATTTCAACTCCTCTTACATCTTGCCAACCAGCACGCTTTTCGACTGACGGACACAGAACTGCGAAGCCGTCGGTGCGTCGGTGGCGTTTTCGCTTTTCCTCTCGCCGGAGCATCCCCTTCAAGAGGGAGTGTGGCGAATGATTGGCCAAAACGAGCCTCGCCGATTAGAGAGCAGAAGGTGTCCCACCCTAAAAAAAACCCGTTAAGCTGGGGTCTTCTCAGCGACCATCGAAGCTGAGGCCCGTTCACGAGGTCTTCGATTTCGACTTCACCGAGCAGGAAGTGAAGATGTCCGGGGCCAAGACGGCTTAGGCAGCATTTTAAGTAGGCATTTTAAGTTGGCATTTTATTGAGCCGTATCTGTATCTCAAGGAGTGGTCAGACGGATCTGAGTTTTGTCGCAAAGGAAGATGGCGTCTCTGCCTCAGATTCATCTTGTGAAAGGAAGTGGGCTGCTGCCCCCCCAATGCTTTTCCGAGGTGCTAAACTGCATCGTCTTCTGGTACAAAATGCTGCGGGCTTCGTGAACACCAGGCTTTCTGGACCATTCTCAAAGCGCTGTGCTTCAGGGCGCTGACGGCCGACGTCTCCTTAGATCACACTCCCGAGCAGCTGCGGCCAGCTCCTGAAGACGCTCAGCCTAAACCCTAAACCCCTAAACCCTAAACCCTAAATGTCACACTAAACCCTAAACCTAAACCCTAAACCCTAAACCCTAAACCTAAACCCCCAAAGCCCTAAACCCTAAACCCTAAACCCCCAAAGCCCTAAACCCTAAACCCTGTTTGAGAGAAACTCAGGATCTTGGGCGTTCCTGGCTGGCCCTGGCCTCGCCTGGCGGGAGGAGTGCTGGCCGCCGCCACGCCCGGCTCTGAGCTGGCAGGGAGGGTTTAGGGCTTTGGGGTTTAGGGGTTTTTGGGTTTAGGGTTTGGGGGTTAGGATTTAGGGTCTAGGGGTTTAGGGGTTTAGGGTCAAGGTTTAGGGTTTAGGGGTTCAGGGTTTAGGGGTGTGAGGTTTGGTTGTTTAGGGTTTAGGTTTATGGGGGGGGGGGGTGTTAGCTTTTTGGTTTTAGGGTTTAGGGGTTAAGGCCGTTTCGGGCTTTAGGTTTAGGATCCGCTTCCGCCTGGCTCTCAGCGAACAGGTCTAAGGGTCCAAAGGACGCGATAATTTGGGGTTCTTTAAGGATTCCTATTAACGTGCCTTTCAAAATCTATATGGGATCTATTTGGAGTTTTATAGGGGTGGCAAAAAACCTGACCTGGTAATTAGGTATGTGGATTAGGATGGTTTTGTAGGTTAGTATGATTAGTATTGTGTAGGTAAGCGGACCAGTATATGGGGCCGGGACTTGGCAATTGGAAAATTGGGTTGCAGGGGGCTTGGAATTGGCTTAAATGTGACACGATGTCATCTGGCATAGGGTACTCGTGCCCCGTCTTATCTTGAGGCTCTTTGAGACACCGTCTGCTGCACCCTAGCCGAGTGTATGCTTGGCGTTGCGGGTTATCCTCAGATGTTCGCCAGCGATTTCTCTCCAATAAGGAGGGGCTTCCGGGTGAGTACCAGGGCTTCCTCTACTGTTTGAGGAGTTGTTTTAAACGATAAGTTTGGCCACATTCCTAAGCCCTTGACATGTCTTGTCGTGCATTGTGATGCGGTTGGGGTCGAAGATCGTGGGCGGCTACAGGTGCTGGAAGGAAGGGATTGATTCACGCACTGCTACTACTAAATAGATGCAGGAAGCGGCTCCTTCGGCAAAGGATGAAAAAGCAACGCCGCTACAAACGCTTGGCTGCCACAGGCCAGCTGTCCCTGTGGTAACTTTTTCTGACACCTCCAGTCTATCTGAATATCTCTCAGGCCTAAAGCATCGATAGGCCATGTCTTCTCAGTTTGTGTTCGTACTGAAATGCCAAACTTCCAAGCTCTAATCTCCAAAGCACAACTCCTTATGCATTAAAGCCCATGCACTGATGCCACACAGAACGAAACTGTAGATCTGAAATGCTTTAAACCCCATTTAGGAAGGTTTAAGGAAGGTTCCACGAGGGACTGAAACCTTAAGCTTTTGATCTGCTGCGTGGTTGGATATCTCATGGTGTGACAAGTGCACTATCAACTGCTCTCCTCGAATGAGGATTCTGGAGCCCGTAGTCCCGACTTCGTGCAGACAGGAAAGAGCCCTTTAAAAACAAAAAACACAAGCTTTTGAAACTGAGGCCCCGCTAGTTGGAATGCGGTGTTTTGGTGGAATTAATTTGCAAAAGCCACATCACAAAAACCTAGGGCCGTTGCTGCGTAAGTCCGAACCTCTCGACGCCTGAGGATTGGCTTGGTCGCCTTGATACCCAGCTGATTTTGGCCTTCGGTTTAGGGTTAACGTTGGCGTTCAGGGGTTTGAGGTTTGATTAGCGCTTTAGGGTCTCAGGGTGTGTGGTTTTCGATGGGTTTAGGGTTTTGGGTGTAGGGTTTGTCCGCCGTTCTGTGTAAGTACACGAAGCCCTAAACCCCACGCCCTAAACCGCAACCCTAAAAACCTCAAACCCTAAAAATGTCTCAGATAGCTGCGGACAGAGTTCACAGACTCTTGCACTGGAAGTCGTTGGTCGAGACTGTGGAGCCACTTCGGCCGTGTGGGTTTAGGGTTTAGGGTTTTGGGATCGTATATGTAGTTCCTAACCCTAAACCCTAGACACTAAAGCATAAACCCTAAACCCTAAACCCAACGGCCCTAACCCTATAAGGCCTTCATTGATTAACTTCGTAATCTGAAGCGAGTTGATCTTCCACTAATCCCCAGCCGCCAAACCTGGAACTCTAAGCCCTAAGCCCCAGACTACCATAGCCCACTTTTTTGTAGGTTCTTGTTGTAAGCCCGAAAGCTCTATACCGACACTACAAACAAGTAGCTTTAATACAAAACCCAACTCTAAACTTAAACCATAAACCCTAAACCCCTAAACCCCTAGAGCCCTAAAGCCCTAAAGCCCTAAACCCCCAAACCCCTAAAAAACAAAACCCCTAAGCCCCTAAAACCTGAAACCCCTAAAACCCTAAAGCCCTAAACCCCAAAAACCCCAAAAACCCCAAACCCTGAAGCTCTTCAGGTACTCCGCCTCTGCCCACTCGGGCTTCCCCCACCTGCGGGATGCAGATCTCGACGATCCCAACCTCAGGGGTTGGCTCTGGGACCCCTGGCTTTCACCTTAAGGGTTTGGGGGTTTAGGGGCTTTAGGGTTTAGGGTTTTAGGGTTTAGGGGTTTAGGGTTTTGGGTTTTAGAAGTTTAGGGTTTGGGGTTTTAGGGGTTTAGGGGTTTAGGGGTTTGGGGGTTTAGGAGTTTAGGGATTTAGGGGTCTTAGGGGTTTAGGGTTTTAGGGGTTTAGGGGTTTGGGGTCTTAGGGGTTAGGGCTTTAGGGGTTTTGGGGGTTTTAGGGGTTTAGGGGTTTAAGGGGTTTGGGGTTTAGGGTTTAGGGTTTAGGGTTTAGGGGTTGAGGGGTTTAGGGGTCTTAGGGGTTTAGGGGTTTAGGGTTTTAGGGGTTTGGGGTTTTAGGGTTTAAGGGTTAGGGTTTTAGGGTTTTGGGGTTTTAGGGGTTTAGGGTTTTAGGGGTTTGTTTAGGGTTTAAGGGTTTTAGGGTTTTAGGAGTTTGGGGTTTAGGGGTTTAGGGGTTTGGGGGTTTAGGGGTTCTAGGGGTTTAGAGGTTTAGGGGGTTTAGGGTTTTAGGGTTTTAGGGGTTTAGGGTTTTAGGGTTTTAGGGTTTTAGGGTATGGGTTTAGGGTTTAAGGTTTGGGGCTTCGGGTGTAGGGTTGTCGGGCTTCTATTACAGAATAGACAGATCTGCTAAGGTACCATAGATGAAACAGGGTATCTGGACCTTTCTACTTTCTAAACAGGACAACCGTGTTAGATGTTGTGCTTGCGAGGTTTTGATGCCCCCCAAAGGAACCCTATTCTCTAAATTAGGGTCCCTTTTTAGGTCCCCAATATAGTGCGGCGCCCTTATAAAAGGGATCCCCAAAGAAACCCCAGTTTGGACAACTGCCCACCTGATGCCGAGAATTCCAGAGTGAGCTGCACAGCTTCCGACGAAGACTTCTGCTGGGTGCCTGGGCATACGACCAGTTTCTCGTAGAAGTCTTGGGTGATCCAGGCTTGGCATAAACTATACCCTAGCATGTAGGTTTTTCCTGTAACCCCAAACCCTACAAAATAGTAGGTTATGACCCCTCAAATCAGAGGGTCTATCACTTGAAACGGTAGGTTTTTGGATTCAGAGGTAGGGATTTTGGGAGTAAGGCCTGAACTTCTGAACTGAAGCTACCCAGAGAACACAATACCCCCATAGTGAACCCCAAAAAGTTGGAAACCGGATTAAGGACAAATAGTGCTGGGATTCCTTATACATTACTCTTAAGGATTGAGGCTATTGGGTTTCCAACTTTTGGGCTTCTACTGTAATTAAGGAATATACCTTAAATTATAGGGGCCCTAATATTATGATTTAAGGTATATTCCTTAATTAAGGGGTGTTGGGTTCTCTGGGTAATCCGGAACCCCGCAGAGCACTCTGCTCAGAAACGGGAGCCCGCCGTTCTCATGAGCTTCCACAGAGAATCGGGTCATCATGTTAGCATTACTATTTTTAGGAATCCAAAACCCTACAACAACAAAAGCACCTTTTTGGGTGTTTTGATCAACCTAAACCCTGCACCCTAAACTTCCAAGTTACCATACAAACAGAAAACCATCTCTTGTTTTCTGTAGATCCGCATTGTGGTAGCTTATACCAAGACCCTCAACCAAAATCCCAATAAAGTTTGAATCCAACAAAGGTGCCACGGCTCAATCTGCAAAGCGCCGAAGTGATGAGTCAGTCACTGCGGCCGAGCGGCGCGGCTGAGGGTTGAAGAACGTTGAGGTGTTTGGGACGCTTTGTCGGTCGGACCTTCCTCTAAAACCCTAAACCCCGAACCCCCTAAACCCTAAAACCCTAAGCCCTAAACCCCCAAAACCTAAGTATCAGGAGTTGAAGTGAGGCTGTTGAAGGCTACATTCCTAAACCCAACACCCTTTCACCCTTTTCGGTCACATAAGATTGAAGCCTAAATAATTACCAATACGGTTGATGATATAATGTCTGCATTAATAAAAAGGAATATACCATAGTTCCCATACTTTAGGGTCGTTATAAGGTAATGCAGGATTTTTTTCATCAGCCCAAAACCCTCTACTGATTATCAAGGCCCCCTACAGTACCCGGAAGCTCACTGACCCAAAGAGTCCCACTTTTCAGGCGCAATGAAGCCCTTCGAACCCAAGCCAATACCCTTCGAGCCAAACCTTCTCAGTGCCCCACATGTAGTCTGGTTTAGGGTTTTGGGTTTTTGGTTTAGGGGTTTAGGGGTTTAGGGGTTTAGGGTTTAGGGGTTTAGGGTTTATGGTTTAGGGTTTGGGTTTGTTCTTGCTAGGGTTTAGGTGAGTGTATATGGGGCGTCATTGGTGGGTGTGTGTG